AAAGCACAGGGAGCCCATTCTAGGAATAAGGTAATGAATGATCTTTGGGTATGTAGTATTGTTTTGTTGTATATCAGCTTAGAGGTCCCAAGTATGAACCTTTGGTTCGCTTAGTTCCAAAAACCCTTGATGTCTCCGGAGGGTTCAGAAGTCGATCTTTTTTTTGGTCGGAGGAGTAAATGTCATAACCGCTAAGCTATTCTCATGTTAGACCATATTTTATCTGTATCGAAACCCTGAAGTTCATTTTGACAATTTGTAGCAGATTAATGATGAAGAATGATGAAGAACCCAGTGGCTCAAATGAAGATGGAAGTTCCCAAGAAATCCACAAGGAAGAGCAGAATTTGCCTTGATCAATAACCGACCATTCCGCCATCAGATTAAACAGTATGTATACATTATTTTGTAAATGTCATTTTTAGGCTGTTAGGATTTGTACCAAAAATACTGACTTATTGCAAAAAGAGGAAAGAAACAAAGGTTCCTTTTCCTCTCCTTTTTTGTTCACTTTAATTGTAAATAACTCAAGTTTTGAAATGTTTTTGGTAAAAAAAAAAAAAAAAAAAAAAAAAAAATTATGGAACGTTATATCTTAGTCTTTAACTTTGGGAAAAATCAATATTTACTCCTCACTTACAAGATGGACGGTAACAACTTAGATCCACCACTAATAGATATTGTCCTTTTTGGACTTTTCTTTTCGGGCTTCCACGTTAAAAATGATCCATATTTACCCTAACTTACAAAATGATCTAACTTTTTTGTCCAAAACTTTCAATTTTATTAAATTATATTTGGTTAGATTTGGGAAATTTGAGGGATTTATTTAATTGTTTTATTTTATTATTATTTTTAATTGAAACACTCAATTGAAAGTTTATGATGTAAATTGAGTTTTTTTCCCTTAAATTTTATAATTTAAAAAAATGTTAATATTGTTAAATAGAAAGTCAACATAAACCTAGCTAATTGATCGAATTTCTTCTACTTAATTTTTATAATATTTACCAAAATAAATAAATAAATAATCATTCATTAGTTAAAAATAGTTTAAAAGTTGATAGATAAATAAATAAATGCTGACAATTTACTTCAAACAAAAAAAAAACCAAATAATAAAAAACTAATTACTCATCATCATTAAATAGTGCCACATTTTAATCCTAATAACTTACATCTTTTTTCCCCTTTTTTTGGGAGTTCAATAATAGCTTAAAATCAGCTGAATAATACCTAATAAAAAAATTAATATGAATACTGAGGATGCTTCGTGTGGCCCTCCACTCGTAATATTTCCACCAACTGAAAAAAAAAAAAAAAAACACACAAATAAAACTTTTTAATATCATTATCACTTTTATATTATTAAATATTTATTGTTAAAGTGGTTAGCAAATAATAATGATAATAAAAACTAAAATAGTGATTTTTTAAAAATTTGTTTGTATAAAAACAAAAAAAATCAATTATGGTTAAACTGTTAGCAAGGAATAATAATAATAATACAACAATAAAATAGACATTTTTTGTTCATTGTTGTATAAAAATAAATAAATTATTGTTAAATTGTCAGCAAAATAATAATAATAAAAATAAACTAAAATATTTTACGTGCAAGAGTTTAAAAACTAAATTTAATTAAAAGATGGGTAAAATATAGGATATGACATTATAAAATGTTTTTAATAATATATATATGTATGTATGTATGTATGTATGTATGTATATGCAATGGAACGCATCGCAACGCGGGGAGGGCTTACCGCAATCTCTGGTATGATTAGAGGAAATGGAGCAAAGGCACGACAATCCTTCGGTTTCAGTATCAAATCCACAAGTTCCTCCCGATTTTGAACACCGATCGCATCCTAAATCCGGAACAGAGAAGCTCAATTTCATCCCGTAATCCCAATCCAGAGCCCCTACGCCCTTCAGATTCTCCGAATTCAACACCGTCGTGTAATGCGAGCAATCCAGAATGTTCATACTCATGAACTTTACAGTATCGTATCCAGTGAAACAGCACGGAGGCGAACTGTTCGTCAACAGATGGAAGACTCGGAAGGCGTTGCAGGCGCCGTAGAGTTCGTCGCAGGAATGGCCAGAGAAGTTGAAGCAGAGGTACTTGTAGTGGTTGAGGATCGGTGAATCGATCGAGCAATTGAGGAGAGCGAACACGGTGTCCGGCGTCGGCGGCATGATGATCGATTGGATATCGGTCATGACGAAGTCGTGATGCGGTTGAAGGATGGAGCAGGTCGACATGGCCGGATCGTAGATCACCATGGATTGCTTGTCGTAATCGATGGATTGGACTTTGTAAGTGCCGGAGGGAGTGAGGAAGAAGAGATCTGTGGAGCAATTGAACATGCGCCGGAACTGAGGCGCTCCGCAGCCGTCATCAACTCCGAAGGGGTATTTGATCGGAATGTTGCCGCAGGAGGTCCGGCAAGGTGAGGCGAAAGTGAGAGGAGGTAAAAGTAGTGTTGCTGGTAGTAGGAGGAGTAGGAGGCATGGAAATGTGAGATTCCGGTGGCCGGAGACGGCGGAAAGAGGTAGCGACGCCATGGAGTTCATCAAAGTAAAAATTTCTGGTAATGATAAATTGAATAGAATGGTTGATTTATTTGATTTTGGAGGAGGAAAACAGCTCAGCTCAAGAGAATTTCGAGGGAGGTGTTTCCTCCATCTCTTCCAAATCAACTTTCCATCATCCAATACCTCCCCTCCCCTCGAACAAAGTGTGTCTCCCCTTAATCAAGGTTAGACTCCTTTGAAGTCTTAGTCATTTTTTACTGCCTTCGAGTAGGCTCGACTCTTTTTCTTTTGGAGTCTTTTGTTCGACATTTGAGGATTTACCAATCTATTGACACGACTAAGTATAGGGCATGACTCTGATACTATGATAGACGAACACAACTCTCTACAATAGTATGATATTGTCCACTTTGAGCATAAGCTCTCATGGCTTTGTTTTGGACTTTCTCAAAAGGCCTCATACTAATGAAGAGAGTATTTCTTAATTATAAACTCATGATCATTTTCCACGTCGGTTAATTTAAGGAATGATCATGAGTTTATAATGAAGAAATACTATCTCTATTGGTATAAGACATTTTGGAAAATCCAAAGCAAAGCCATAAGAGTTTATGCTAAAAGGGTAGAATATCATATAATTGTGGAGAGTCGTGTTCGTCTAACATGGTATTAGAGTCATATACTTAACTTAGCTTTATTTTTATTCTTTTACTATGGTTTGAGTATTGATTTTTTACGACTATAATAAATATAAATCTTGTCTCACGTTTATTCTAATTTAAAAAATGAAAATAAGTCTAATTTAATTTTTTAAAAAAAAAATAATTGTTTTGTTATATGTAAATTTAAATTTTATGTAGTATAAAATTATAAATTTTTTATATTGTGTTTTTGTAGACTTATGAATTAAAAAAAAAAAAAATTAGATGTTAAAATAAAAATATAAAAAATTAAATAAAAACAAAATTCCTAATTTAAGGGTTATGATCGAAATTTAAAATTTAGTGGGTGGTTTAGACCGTTAAGAAGGTGGCGGTGCGGGAGACATCATAAGAAGATCGTCAAAAGGTATTAGAAAAGGCTGTGACAGTGGGCCCTACTTTGACTACTGCTCTCTATACAAAGCCTTTTCTTTGTCTTTTCTTCCCTTAAAATCTATGATTTGTAAGGAAACAATAGTGCTTATTTATTTTATTTATAAATAAAAAAAAACTATTTTGGTTTTTTTTTTTTAAGCTTGGAAAATAAGTCAATTGTATCTCCTAACTTGTTAAAAATTGATAATTTTATTATAAATAGATACTAAAATAATTCCTTATTGGCACTTTTTAGCAGTTATTTGCTCTGCATTTGGCTATCAACTATCAACGTACACGATAACTAGTACACTAGAGGTGCGTCATTTTCTGTCCTATAGTACTAGGGAAAAGTCCTCTCAATCCTCTAACGCTCACACCGAATATGGATCAAACTATCTCACGACATTATGAATAGTTTATATAATACACTTGAAGAGGAAAAAATTGGACTCAAACTTCCAAGATGGTCCCAATTGAAACAATCCCGAGCCAGAGTAGTTTAACAAGGGAATGAATCAAACCATTGTTATTTCTTACTAGTGCCTAGCCGGTAATGAAGACATACCGACATTTGCTCTTTGATAGCCCATTTCGAATCGGTGATTTGAGCTAGGACTAGAATGAACCAAACCATTTGTATTTCTTACCTTTTATGTTCATACTTGGATAAAAATTTATTTAATGTTGTTGGACTCCACATCACTATTAAATGACACGCGACGAATTGTAGATAATCTAAAATGTGTTACAGCCAATCCCTTTAAAGGCAAAGATAAGTGTGAAAAAGGTGGAAGCAAAGCCCACGAATTCAAACAAAGTCAGCAGAATTTACGGCAATGGGTACCCTACCAGACCTTTGTCCTTCACAAACCCTAATCTGATTCTAACAATGTGAGTGTCAAAAAGTTGCAAGTTTCCCCACCCATTTCACAGTCTCAGAAGTTCAAACACTTGGATACTGAATGTTAACATATATTATAAATATATATATATATATCAAAACATTAAAGACTCATAACGAGTTAGTAGTGATTAAGGGTGTACATGATTCGGGTTGGATTGAGTTGAAGGATTTTCCAGACCTTATAATTCAAGTTGGGTTGGATTGGTCACCCCTAATAATGATGATGAAGGAATGAATGCATTTGTCAAATATATTTCACCAAAATGTGCTTTTTTTTTTTTTTTTTTTTTTTTTTTTTTTTTTTTTTTTTTTTTTTTTTTTTTTTTT